CGAGCGCCCCCAAGGAACTTTCTGGTTAGGGACAGTTTTCTCTTTTGTCCCATTACCCATATGGCCAGCTAAAATTATAGGAAATTAGGATTCATGCTGACAGGCTTTGATACAGAGCTGAATTTAAAATTATCCATTAAGACTATAGCACCATTGGATTGTCTTGTCCGGGTTCCTGCTCTTATCCAGATTGTTTCATGGTTTCTCTTTTCATCAGAAGTTTGTCATGCTAAGCCTAAGTTCTCTTGTTCTACTACTGATATTTTTATTGTTTATTTCCACAGCTTCTTCAATCCCATGCTTTGTTTCCCTTGGAATAATGTCAGATTAATATCCTTTGCTCCCATTTGAACAAAGCATACAATATTTATGATTCTTTCTTCCCAGATAAAGAATTTGCTCCTAAGGTTTATCACCGACATAGCTAACTTTTCCTACTCTTGTTGAGATATTCTAGCCAGCGTTCACTTAGGTCCCATTTGTACCATTTAAGAAATAGAAATTTGGCCACATTGCTTATCAGAGTTTCTGCTGAAGCCAGCTTCCATTCTTGTTAATGATAACATTCTTCAATTCAAGAAAGCAAAACAGAAGTAGGCGTGCCCACACCCTCTCCTCTTGGAGCTTCCTTGGCAGGCAGATCTGCATCAGGACCATCACACCCAGCCTGTTCTTCTCAAGCACCTCCATGCCCTATGTTAGAGGAGCACTTGACACAGGAACCACCTCTTCTCATTATAGTTTCTACTCTCCTCCAGTTTTCCAGATTTAGGAGCTATAAATTTCAGAGTATTCTGGGGCTCTGAATTCTGTCTTCTGTCCCTGCTATTACTTCCAGTATATATCTCTACAAATTGAACATTTAAAAATATCATTTCAATGCATATTTAATGAATGAATGAGTGGATAAATTAATGTGAAATTTCTGTGAGAATTAATCAAAGAGCCTCTTGTATGTCTTTGCCTTAGGTTATGATCCCCAGAAGAAAGGCTAGTTCAACAATTTCTGTGTCAGTGACTCAGAAATAGAAACTTGGAAGTCAATAATCATAATATATATGATCTCAATGCCCGATTTTTAAATAATATCTCCTCAAATGTGAAACTATCAGCCTGACATTATTATGCGGAAGTATAAGACAGTTCAAAATTTCCAGGTTTATGGTATATCTCTTTATTCCATGTCTTTTCTTCACTATGTAATATTTAAGAATAAAACAAATGAATGTGTCTCACTTACACTCTTCTCTGCTTGAGTAAGAGGCCGTGGCACCACCATTTAAATAGGCAAAGTACCTTGGATCCAGTCTTCTCTCTCATTCCAGATCAAGTAGTCCCATTAGCTCAAACTACAAAAGTAAAAGCCAAATCTGACCAGGTCTTTCAGTGTCCACAGCTACTATATAACAGCTTACTTCCTAGTGTAAGACACTGTCGATTCTCTCTTGCAAGGTTTATATAGATGAGTTTACCTGAGTGAACATTTATTTTCCCGTGGTTTTCTTCCTAGATAAACATAAGACCCCTTAATTCTGTACCCTAGATGTAAAAGACGCCCTTGCTAAAAATCTCCTCACTTGCAAAATAATGTCTAAAACCTCAGTAAGTAAGATGAAGCTATGGCTCATCTCTGAATTCCGTCTATAAACTTTTCATTCTGAGCATATTCAGCAATTGGTTTTGTCACTATCCCTAAGTGGCACATCATCCATAATTCCATCTTGTACTTTGCATGTGTAACGTTTTCACTCTGGTGAGCCTCCGGACTCCAATGGAGAGTTCCAAACCCATATTCAGATGGCTCTCATTATACACATTGGGGCCCCCAAACAACGCAAAACACATGAATATTGAAAAAGAGCATGAAAGGAAGAAAAGGAGATTGACAGGGGCTAGAGGTCAATAAGAAAAGGTGCCTGGCAATAATAATAATAATCAGAATATATTGTACATATGTATAAAACAATCAAAGAATAAATGTAGTAAAGTTCTAAAAATTTAAAAATAATAAGAAAACACTCTAAAGTTCAATGACGTCTGTTCTTGTAATTGTCTCAGGGGATGTTTGTTTGTTTGTTTGTTTGTTTGTTCAAAGAGATTCTCATTCTATTACTCAGGCTGGTCTCAAACTTACTATGTAGCTGAGGCTGACTATGAGCGTGTTGTGATTATCAGCCTCCCAAATGCTGGAAATACAACTCTTACCCACCACATCGAGCTTTCTAAAATTCTTAAAGTATTATACATGTATTTATGTTATTTGTATCATATAAAACTTGCATAGCTATTTATTTACATATATATATATATATATATATATATATATATATATATATATATATATATATATATATATATATATATATATATATATATATGATGAAACAGGCCTTTAATCCCAGCCCAGCCTAGTCTACAGACAATGTTCCAGGCTACACAGGGCTACACAGGGAAGCCCTGGCTGGAATAAAACCAAAGATGAACTATCTCTATGTTTGTATGCCTATAATATTAGGAAAACCATTGATCTCAGGATCATATTCCAAAACAGCCTGTTGTTCTGGTAGATATTTTTGGATTCATGTCTGTTACATAATGAATCCTATATTCATACTGTATGAGTAAAAAATATGAACAAGTTCTGTGCATAGGCTGAGGCCTTTTAGTATAATATAAGTAAAACGTATAATAATCCACAGAGATGTCATTCTGTAAGTACGAGATTGATCACTATGGGTATTGACATCTGCAGCTAAAACTTGTAGTAACAATACCCAAGACCACTGTACTCTAAGAGAAAATTCTGTATTTTCACAGATAAATGTCTCTTTTTTATACTCAGACCTGAAATATGTGTCATTCACCAAGCTGAGAAAGATGGTAGGTCAAGTGCATGCTGAATTTACTATCTGTATCTGTTTATAGAGCTGTCTTGAAATTTGGAAGCAAAGTGTTACTAAAAATGTATAGCCTTCCAAGAAGTTAGAAAGAAAAGGGGGCACTGGCGAGGAACTTGGGGAGACAAAGCAGTGAATGGATATGATCAAGACACATTATAAATATGCATGGACTTTTCCAAGAATAAATAAGATTTGTTATAGAAAAATGTGTAACTTTCGAAAGTTTATATTTAAAATGAAAGCTATATTTGGGCCCAGTGAAAAGTAAATAGTGGAAGTGTTTGTCTTTTCACTGCTATCCAGCTACGTGGACATATCTTTGCAGGACAGTAGATGACAGTACTTAAGTACTGGGAAGAGAATGTCCAAATTTACATTTTAGTCCCAGCGGTTTGACCTGTAATTTAGAATAAACTCTTAAAGCATCTGTATTTTATCTTTCAGTCTGTAAAGGGGATTACCATTAATTCTTATGGCTGCTTTGAGCGAAGTGAATTAAGCTACATGTGCATTTGAAACGTATCTCTGACAAATAGAATGGCATAATGCTAGCTATTACTATTTTATTTTTGCCAGAGGGAAATTCTGACGTTGTGGTTTAAGTGGTTTGTTTCAAGAAAAATGACTCCATTCTAGAATTGTGCAGAACTGCTACTCTGTTTTGTAATAATGCTTGGAATTTGTCATGGGGATGGTAAATCAACTGTTAAAAATATGGAAGAAAAGGCTATGAATTCAAGGAGCTATAGATGTCTTTGAATCCATATCCTACAAACTGTCTTGGTTTCTTTGTTTTCTATCAGTTTACCCACATACTAAGGCTTCATAGATCAAAACTATATTCTAATCTGAAAGAGAGCAATGATCTTCTAGAAATAATATTCTCTGGTTCTGTTTAGGCTGAAGAAGTATTTGAAGAAACATCACTTCAACTGGACCAAAAAAAAGTTCATTGTATCCAGCTGTTAAAGGACAGTAGAGAAAGTTGTCTGGATACTCTGAATGCCAAATGGAGAAAAATCCCTTATCTGTAAACTTACAGACAGAGAATATTTGTCCATGTCTGAGAGTTGGTGTACTGAAAAAAAGTAAGAACATGACATCAGCCAAGCCATAGAAGATTGTATGAGATAACAATCTGGGAAAAATAAGAACACAAAAGCCAAATATGGACCTCCAGAGTAACAGACACAAACAAACAAGGTTCAAATTAAAGCCTCTAGTGGCTAACATTGGTTGTCAACTAGACACACTTGTGAAGAAAACTCAACTAATAAACAGCCTGTAGTAGGCTGGCCTCACAGACGTTTCCTTGATTGCTAATGGAGAAGAATTACCTAGCCTGCTAAGAACATCTCAGGGCAGGCTGACCTGAGCTGGATAACAAAGGTAGACAAGCAAACTACAGTAACCTATTAAGTAGCATTCTTCTGTGATCTCTGTTTTAGTTCCTGCCTCCAGGTTCCTGCCTCTAGGTCCTGTCCTGATTTCTTTGAGTGATGAATGATGACAATCTGGATGTGTAATCCAAATGAATACTTCCTTCTCTGTGCTGGTTGTTTTTTGTCAAATTGACACAAAACCTTGAGTTGTACGGGACGATGAACCCCCAATTCACAAAACATTTCCATGAGATTGGCCTGTAAGCATGGCTGTTGATATTTTCTTTACTAAAGACTGATGTGGGAGGGCACAGCTCACTGTGGATGGTGCCACTCCCTGGCAAATGAGTCTGACCTTCAAAAGAAAGCAATGGAAGGCAATCTCATGATCTTATAGGGAACAACCAAGGAAGCGGCATTCTTCCGTGGCCACTCCTTCACTGAGTTCCTATCCGGACACGATTAGGTGAAATAAATAATTTCCTCTCCAAGTTGTTTTTGGCCATAGTGTTTTTTCTCAGAAATAGAAATCCTAACTAAGATATTACTCAAGTTGGATTTGTTCAGTGTTTTGAAACACCAACAAAGAAACAAATTAATTAAAAGAGATTTCTAGAATTGAGCAAAAGGAAAGTCTACTGACATACTGCTAAGTATATGTGTACATAGGTTTACCTATATATGTGTGTGTAATAATTTACCATATATGTTTTAAAAGCTTTAATATATCACTGGTATTGTCTACACTTGCATTTTCATATGGAATTGCTTATGTAGCCTACTATATACTATAACTTATGTATATTTCCTGTCTAGTCTCACATATCCTTTAATATTTCTATATATATATATATATATTACTTTACATTATATATACATATATATGACATGTGTTTATCTCTGCAAAGTGCATATGGATAGAAGAGAATTAGGATGGATACATTGATATTATACACATATTCTAGGACAAATGAGTGAAACTTTACTAGAATAATTGATATCCCAAAAAGATAAAATGTCAATATTATAGATATGCAATACAATAGTCATATAAAACAAAATCTAATGATATTAAAATGATAAAGACATATTTTAAATTACATATTTTAAGAGTCTACTTATTATCAAATTCCTGAAAGGAGTTAGAGCTATGAATGGTACTCTGAGCCTTATTGCTGAACTTTAAGATCATAATGTAGAATACAATTACCAAGCACAATGATACAATCAAAGAGTGAATAGAAATATCAAGTTGTAAAATAAACTTGAATAGCAATTAAAAAACAAAAACTTCTACTCTCTCTGTTCCCTTCAAACAACAGAATTGAATTAAATGCAAATAAAGGTAAAAAGATTCCCAAAATTCAAAAGATGAAAATGTTTGTCTACATAATCTGTTGTTCTAAAAACAATGCAAAAGAGAATAAGGAAATATTTCTGACTCAAAGTGCAACGCAATGCAAGCAAAGCCAACACGTGTGATATGCAACTAATCCTGGCCTTAGAGCAAAGGTGATCAGTATTATTGTCTATACTGCTATATATAAGGAAAAACAAACCACAGTCTCTTTACAGTGAAGAAAAGAAAATTAAAAAGAATGTTTGTGGAATTAAGAAAAGGGCTACTTTCCTCTGAAATTTAAGAAGAGGCCAAGTTAACATATGACGATTTAAGTTAGGACTAGTTAACATTGTCAGAAATAGTTTCATAAGTAGTTAAGATAATGTTTCAGATACAATTTACTTAAAGATGCATTTTTAAGTACATCAAAATTTTAAACTTAAAAGAGGCACAATGCATGGTTTGTGGTCACGGAAAAATTGGAGAATAACAAGTCTGTGGTCAGTCTGAGCTACATGGTGAGATGAGAGATCCTGGTCTTAAAAATTGCAACAAAGAAAGCAAGAATGTGACAGAGAGAGAAGGAAGGAAGGGAGGGAGGGAGGAAAGGAGGGAGGGAGGGAGGGAGAAAGAGAAAGGAAGGAAGGAGAAAGGAAGGAAGGAAGAAGGAAGGATGGAAAGAAGGAAGGAAAAAAGAAAGAAGGAAGAAAGAAGGGGAGGACAGAAAGGAAGGAAGGGAGGAGGTGAGGGAAGGGAGGAAGGAGGGGAAGGAAAAAAAAGGAAAGAAGTAATTGTAACTTTCACCTTATCATATATAATACATGTGATTATAAAGAAAATGTGTGTAGCATATTTATTGGTTGAGTTATTTAATTCATTAAGTTCTCTGTAAACTCAAAGGCCAAGGAGGTCTTTTTTAAAGAATTCATGAAATGGGTTTCACAGAAATTAAGAATGTCTGCTCTTTGAAAGACTCTATCAAGAAAACAAAAGGAAGGGTTGCATTCGGGGAAGGAGTATTTTCAACAACCACTCAACTCTGACAACATTTTGTAATCCATAATATACAAAGAACTCTTCAATTCAATAAGAAAAATCCCTCAATTTAAAAAAGCATTAAGGGATTCCTCATTAAAGAAGATTTTCTTTATCATTTATCATTGCAGGAATACAATTAAAATAATGACAATACAACTAAATTAGTACTACCTTTCCCTAACTACAGAGAAAGAAAAACCATACTAAAGGGAAATTAATGCTATTATGGAAGGAAGAAGAAGTCCCTTTGCCGGTGTTTCCTCTTCTTTCATTTCATTTCCAGGGGACAAAGAGTAGCATTTTCTCCTTCTAATTCCCCTAATTCTCTTTGCTGCTTCCAAACATTGTGTTTTTGCCCCTTCAGGTACCTGTACATTCTGTACTGGAAATATCAAAGCATTCAAAATGAAATTTTAAAAAAAATAGACTTATGTCCAGTTATTCAGCTTTCCTTCAAGAGCAGTGTTGGGAGACGCATATAGTTTTTTTTCTAAAAACGTTATTGTCATTTCTGTACAAAGGATATTGAATATGATATATATGATGACATTGAAATTTTACCCAAAAGATCTCTTAGTCAAGAAATGCTCAAGAAAGTGAGTGCACTGGGAAACATAATTAAATTTTCCGGACTTTTAAATCTCAGTGAGACATTAGACAAGAGAAGAGGAATAAAAAGGAAAAAGAATAGAAGCTGAGCACTAAGAGATACTATGACAGATTAGAAACCACTGTCTTTTTTTCTTCTTCCTGAGCTGCATATATGCCAATCAACAAACCGTCTCTTCCCTTCTGTGTTACAATATATTTCACACACCGGTGCATAAACACATCTTTTGAATGAGACATTTTGACATGCCTTAAAAAGAGTCCACTATCTTATAACATTTTTGTCCTCTCATATCATGTTTAGATGACAGCCTACTAATGATGTAAATTTGATTAAGTAAGAACATGTGCCATATGGAGTAATTGACAATGTTTGCAATATTGATGAGGAACCTCAATCCAATCAATGTGGTGTGTTTACTAATTCCCTGCAGGCCTCCAACAGCCAAAGAAGAAATAAGGTATTTAACAAACTAAGAACAATTAATAAGTCATTCCTCTGTGCTGTTATTTTTTCTTAAAGAATATGTATTAACAGAAGTTTCTATTATAATTTAAGGTGGTTTGTTTTCTTTATTTTAAATAAAATCCCAATCTACAAAAATGTATATTTTACAAATTTTTCATGCATAGAGAGAATAATTATTTCATATATCATCTGTTCTACGAATGGCATAGAAAATCATTTTCATATTCTTTTTTGAATATATATAGAAACCATGTTAAGCTGTATATATACAGAATGGGAATACCTCCTCTAGCATTTAAAAAATTCTAATTCATTACAGCATTGCTAGCCTTTTATATTCAAAGCTCATGTCCACACTGTTAAATGACTGTGGCACAGTCTACATTCTGATATCAGTAACCCTTGATCTTATACACAGTCTTCAAAATTTAAGTCAGGAACTTAGGCCCAAAAGAAAAATCTTAGTGTAAAGAATTGTTAATCAAATTCAAAGCAATACGCGTTCTTGGAAGCATTCTTTACTTTCAATGGCTGTGTTTAAAAACAGCGCTTTCCCCACAGCTAGTAGTTAGAATTTCACTATAAAATACTCCCGTAAAAACTATTTAATTTTTCTACTTCGGGGAGGGAGGGTTTGATCTCTTATTAAACATTTTATGGAAAAGTCTAAAAGTGCTTTCAATTATTTATTGAATTGAAATCCAGGCCTTGGAAATTGCAAGCATACACACACACATAATATTATCAGCCCATTGAGGACCATTAGGTCGTAAAGCGGTACTGTGGCAACATCTCCAGTACAGCTGCTGGAGCTCATGCAACTTTTACTGCAGTTATAAAGTCATTTATTACATTTCCTTTATGATGCTAATGCATTGCGGTCTGTTACTTTATTGATTCCGCTGTGATAAAGACCGAAATGTATGATATTGTGGTGTGCTGCGGGGAGTGTACAGGCACACAGAGACAGATCTCGTAGCAGCCTGTTGCATTAAAAGTCACTTAAACTTAAAAGGTCTATAAAAATATTAATAAAGGCTATCAAAAAAGATATTTTTGTAGCGCATTTAAGTCATGTTGCTTCATTGTTCCCTGTAGAATTAGTTTTAAGTTATTCTTTATTAAAACATACAAACGATAATGGGAGCAACTAGGTTTTTTTTCTTAATTACAATCATATCGTGTGGGAACACAATTTGCAACTCGCTGAGAGGAAAGGTAACTGTATTGTTTCCAAATAATCAAATAAAAAGCAGTCATTACAAAATAATGCCCACAGACCCAAAAGGAACCCATAATTGATAATTACATCTTGTTCAAATTGTCTAAACTTAACTCTCCCTATGATACAATTGTACATAAAGAGATTGACATTTTCTGTAGAGGGAAAAAAATCAATTTACATGAATCAACTGCTACTCTTGTGGAGGCTTGTTCACAGTTGATGCCTACAATGCTAGAATACCTCAAGGAAACTCATGCCCAACTGAGTTCATTTGGGTGACTTCTTGTAATGTGTGGATCAGAGCTGAAGCTGCTCACTAACCTTTTTCTCCATCTTTCCTCTTTTTCACAAGGGAATGGGGTTGAGGAGCAAGGTGACAAGATGTTCCAAAAATAAGCAAAAGACATGAAAAACAATATTCTCTGGCAGCAGTTCTTGAGTGGGACATTCAGCTCATGAATTTCATGGTATTTAATTTTCCCAGAAAAGAGTTAAAATCAATGTTGGTAATATTTAAGGAAAAGCTTTTCTTCATGTGATACAAAGATTATAATAAAGGTAATTCTGGATTCAGATTTTATCTTTCTTCATTAAATGCATTTATAGCTATTGTGAACATGCTTTGTTACATTGTCACACTGATGGATGAGCAAATTTTAATAATGACTCTAACTAGGAATCTACCACAAAAATAACCTAAAATGTAACACAAATTTGGAGTTGAATGTGATCTTAGAAAGTTTATCTTCTTCTCTCATTTTCCTGAGAACTAGAAGATTTTGCTTTAGCAAGTGTTGTCTTTTTCTAGTTGCATACTGCATACATTATTTTGTTTCAACTTGTTTTCAGGATCAGTAACTACCATTTATTTTTTATTCTATGTATCTGGCAATTTCAGATGCCTATATAAGAGAAGGATACATTATTTGTGTTTCTGCAGGTATTTTATAATTATGATATCCTCAAGGTTCATCCATGTTGTCAAATATTTCAGTATTTTCCACTTTTCTAAGTCAAAAGCTTTAGCTGTGAATCTTGGCTGCAACATTATCAACTGGTCATGCAGGAATGTTCAGTGGTGTGGTAGAGGCAAGTCTGTTATAGGGATAATTGCTTTCTGATTGTATTTGAGGCCCTCTATTTAGAAGGAAATTCACATCCCCAAATCCCCCCCCCCAAATTTCATGACTTTTTCTTCTTTAATTATCAATGGTGTGTGTGTGCGTGGCATGCACATGTGTATCTATTGAGTCCATTTAGTGTTGCTCTTGAATACATGTGTTTATGACTGAATTTAGGATTGAAGATTAAGTTGTGAGGGGCTTATTCCTAGAAATACTGAATCTCCAGAAAAGCTTTGTTTTTTGTTTTTTAGTTTTTTTGTTTTTGTTTTTGTTTTTGTTTTTGTTTTTTTTTTTTTTGGAATAGGCCATAATAAGTATAAAGACTGTTAAATGGACAGGTTTCTAAGACTAAGTGACTGTTAAATGCTCAGCATTAAATGGGGCATCTATGTAGTTGAAAGGTCTCTCTGGTCCTGCCTGCTCTGCAGTCCTAAGTGTCTCTGGTCCCAACCAGCTCGGCAGTCCTGAGGCCAAATATAAAATAATCATTCAGAGGCTTGATATTATTTACAAACTATATGGCCTATGTCAGGCTTCTTGCTAGGTAGCCCTTATAGTTTAACTCAACCCATAATCATCAATCTATGTATCACCACATGTTCCATGGCTTTACCTACTTCCCATTACTTGTTGTTCCTAGGATGGCAGTCTGGTGTCTCCCCACTCTGCCTTTCTCTTTTCCTCTGTATATCTCCTTGGGTTTCCCACCTGCCCCTAAACTGCCTTGCCATTGACCAAAGCAGCTTATTTATTGACCAATGAGAACAACATATATTCACCACATACAAGAAGACATCCCCCAGCACATCTATTTCGCATATACCAAGGCTCTGGGAATTTCACAGATTAAGGAGCAGGAAGAACGTAAGAGCCAGAAGAGAAGAGGTAATTAATGTGGAAGTATGACATCCAGGCATAACATGGCTGTTGCACTCTTGAATTTAGAGCATCAATGATTAACAACTCAACATCTACACAAGACTGGGCCTGTCAAGACCCTGCTTTGAATGGAAAAATGGGCTCATGGGATCACCAAAACTAATGCCAGGTGGGTGATTTTAATCCATTGCCAAGTCCTGTTTCCAGCTTGACAAGCAAACTTATGTACCCTGGACCACAATTTCTGTGTGCTGACTCTGAAGAAATAGTCCCCCAGATATTCCAACTCAATGATGCTGGTCTCTGATTAATCATTCACAGCTGGTTCTACAGCCTTGGCTGACTAACATCTATTGTACAATTGAAGCATAGGTGTTTTACTTGCAGATTTGTCTATTAGAATTATGTGAATGTGTGTATGTGGAAGTGAAGGGCTTTTTGTGCACAAGAGTGCTGGTTATGACAGGAGCCAGAAGAGGATATGGAATTCCACGGAGCTGGAGTTACAGATGGGTTGTGAGCCACCATGATGTGGATGTTGGAAATTGAACTCAGGTCTTCTGCAAGAGCAGTATAGGGTATAAATGACTAAGACAGTTCTCCAACTCATATTTCCACAGATTATTAATATCAAATATCATACAAATAGTCCTGATATTGTCTGCTTCCATCTTATATTTCCCAATACAGGCCACAATTGACTGGGTTTCTCTCAGCATTCTTATCTTACAAGTTCCCACACCATAAAGTTAAGCTCTCAGTACTCAATGCCTTTCTGTGACCAAAATTCCAAACTCTTCCACAATCCTCCCTAAAACAAAATGGTGAGATTTATCATAGTAACAATCCAATACTTCTAGTTTTAGTTTCATTCTATTGTTGTAATGAAACACTCTGACCAAAAGCACCTTAGTGGAGGAGAAAAAATATGCCTTACGCATTATAGTCCATACTTAAAGGAACCCAAGGCAAGAATTCAAGCAATAACTAAAGCAGAAACCATCAAGGAATTTGATTCTTTTCCTGCTCTCTAGCTTGCTCACTTGCTTATCTACCTTAGGAACATCTGCATATGAATGGTACTGCCCCAGTGGGCAAACATGACAACATCTTATAGACAGGCTCACAGGGTAATCTGATCTGAACTAAGGTTTCTTCTTTTCAGATGATGGCAGAGTGTAGCAAGTAGATGATAAAATCTGACCAAGATGAAGAATAAGAGGAGGAAAAGAAGTTGGATGATTATTGTTGGGTGAGGGGAAGGAGGAGTTGAAAGAAGGGAACAGGGATTGGATATGAACAAATATGAAAGTCTTAAAGAATACATTAAAATATTATATATAAAAATAAAACACCTCTAGACTTTTGGCAGAAATTGAATGAAATATGTAGCATGGATATTTTAGCAAATTTCTTTTAAAATTTTGGCATGGACTAGGATTCAATTTATTTGTTTTTCATCTTCAGTTTCTTTCATCACTGACTAAACAGTTTTCTGAGAATAATCACATCCTTGCTTAAATTTGTTGTTATTTTATTTTTTATTCAATTGTAAATAGGATAATTTTCTTGACATTTTTGTGCTAGATAATCTGTCATGTATTAAAATATTAGAAACTTTCTCCATATTGACATCATATCCTGCACTTTTGTTCAATTTATTTATAGCTGAAAAGTCTTGCTGTGGGATAATGCTTTTGTACACTGTAAAGATTTGTCATTCTAATTGGTTTAATAAAATGTTGATTGGCTAGTAGCCAGGCAGGAAATGTAGTCAAGGCAACCAGATTAGGAAAATTCTGGGAAGAGAAAGGGCAGAGTTAGGAGTCACGCACCAGATGCAGAGGAAACAAGATGAGAATGTCATATTTGAGAAAAGATACCATGCTGTGGGATGTCTTTCTGTAGGCTATGAATATGTGTGGCTCCCATTGGATAATAAATACAGCTATTTTGTCCTATGGAAAGAAAGCTTACAGGCAGGTGGGAAATCCATGCAGAGATACAGGGAGAAGAAAGGAGGAGTCAGGAGAGACTCCAGCTGCCACCAAAGGAGCAATAACATGCCAGCAGGCTGGTAATGCCACTGCCATGTGGTAAAACATAGATTAATAGGAATGGGTTAATTTAAGATGAAAGAGTTAGCTAGCAAGAAGCTGAAGCAACAGTTTGTAATTAATATAAGCCTCTGAGTAATTATTTTATAAGTGGCTGTTGGACCACTTTTTTTTTTTTTTTTTTTTGGTCCAGACTGCTGGGCAAGGCAGGACTGGAAAAACTTCTGGTTACAATACCGAACCACTTGGCTAAACATAGATAAGAATTATGGGTTACTCTAAGTGTAAGAGCTAGTCAGTAATAATCCTGAACTACTAGCTGAGTATTTATAAGTAATATTAAACCTCCAAGTCAATGATTTGGGAAGTAGCTACTAGGTATTTGGGAATTGCTAGTGGGACACAGAAATTTCTGTTTCCAAGTCTTGTTGGGATCTTTAGATTTTTCTACATTGAGGATCATGCCATCTGTACCTCCAGTATATGGTAAACAGAAATGGGGAGAAAGAGAATTTTTGCTACAAATTAAACCTTTGAAGAAAACCTATTTCCTCCTCATTGATTACGATGTTCATTGGGAATTTGCCTTTGATGATCTTTATCATGGTGAGGAGTATTCCTTGTTTACCATATCTGCAAAATGCTTTTATCAAGAAAAAAATGCTATAATTTGTCCATTTTTCTCACCATCAGTTGAAATGATCATGGATACTTTGTTTCTATCTACAGTAGTATATCACAGTTATTAGTTTACATATATTCAGCTACAATTGCATGCAGAAATAAATATCACTTGATCCTGATATAAATTTGTATGTTTTAAAATTGTATGTTTCATTCAGGATTTTGCATCAAAATTCATCAGAGATACTATAGTTTTGTTAACTTATAGGCATTTTCCTTAGGTGATTTAGACTTTGAACAATGGGTTCTACTGTTCTCTCCAGCTCTGCTTATAAGAAGTGTTTGATAAGTGGTGTTTTCAATTTTCCCCTGTGCCATGCTCTGTTCAGATCAAGGGTATTACCTAACTGGGGTGTTGAGTGAATGAAGAAATGGAAAAGCATGGAACACAGAACAGCTGGAATGTGATGGTCTCAGATGAAGAATCCACAACATACAGGTAAGCAAGAAGGTGGGATTAGTGTAGAGTTAAAACAAGGAGGTAGGTGCTTGGCTAATCTCAGTAGGAGCAATCTCTATAAGGCTAGTCTTCAGGCCATAAAATATTCTGTGTGAGAAGGCTATGGTGGACTCTCTCTGCACATGCTGTCAACGTTCACACTCAGACCTAAGGAAGGCTTTGTTATACCTCTGAGCCTCGAATGAAAAGGGACGTGCCACTGCCATAAGTCCAAGGTATTGGTTTTTGACATAGCTGTACCTATGTCAAATAATGCACATTCATTCACTCAGAGCTCCACTAGCTCCTTGCACACTTACAAGTTTAGTATAATTAAGCTGCTATGTCACATGCTACTTGTAGGCTGTTTTGTTTGGGAGGAGTTTCTTCAATGGCTTTGACGTGCAGTGGTTTGCTCAGTTTCTTGGTTCATGCTAGATTAACTAATTATAGGTTTTAATGTATTTTAGGATCGGGAACTGTGATTCATCTATCCTCATTCTTCTGGAAGATATGATGGCTTTATAGTTTTGGAGTTCCCCATGAGCTTTTGAATCATTTTTCTGTTGCTACTTAAAATTCAATTGGGATTTTGGCCAAGATTACATAAAAACTATAGATTACTTTGAATAAAATGGATGTCCTAAAATGTCTTCTAACCCATTCATATGGAATCATACGTCTCAGTGTATACTGTAATTTTATTTCATCAAGCTCATCTGTACAATGTCTTTTTTTGTTATATATTACTATTAATTTCATTAGAGTAATAAAGGACAAAAAGAAAATTCCTGTACTATAAATGAAATTTACATAAAATAAACACAAAAATAAAACCCAGTATATTTTCATATTCTATCTGCTATTGCAATTATTTCATATAAAACTCAGCAAACACGTGAGACCAAAGCCCAGGGCTTCAGGTACACTAGGCAACTGCCTCGTCATTTGGCTCTTCTCCCAGCCACACCAGCGTTGTAACATAAGATACAGTAGAACTTCAAATGCAATACATGAAGCCCTGGCATTAGTCAGAATTTGCTAGAGGAACAGAACTACTAGAATGAGTATATGTTTTAGAAAGCATTAATTAGATTAGTCTTAGACAATTCAAGAGAAGATTCTAACGCTGGCTGTCTGGACACTGGAGAGCCATGATCCTGGGTGTTATTCAGTCCATGCGGCCAGAGGCCTCTGCAACCTCAAGCTTGCAATGAAGACCTAGGGAAATTCCTGGAGAGCTATGAGTCTTCATCTACATTTAAAAGCCAAAGAACCTTGAGATGTCAGGAAAGGATGGCTGCAGCAGTAGCAGCCATAGGATAGACATAATCACCAGCAAAGAATAAAAGCAAGCAGGTAAAAAAGTAACAGCTTTTCCAGTGTGGACCTCCTTACAGACAAACCCAGATGTGTCTCTTAGTTTAATTCAGATTCCCTGAAGATGACAAGCAGCACCAACTGTTACAGCTCCTAATTACTGTGTTCATTAGTCACTTCTAAGAAACCGTCATGATAAAGGATGTGTTTACCAGTCATATTTATTTACCATCTATTCATATATTACTTTGAAATGATATATTCAAATGCTAGTGATGTTATTTATTACCTTTGTGTGTATTATATTTTTCCTGAATAAAATAACAACTAAAGAAACTAAAAGCAGGTATTTCTTAATATAACATGTAATCTATAAACCTAAGTATATGCTTTATATAATAGTTGAATTATATTTTTGTATCATTGGCCTCCAACATTCATTTAGTTTCCAACTGTGTGGAAAATTGGTTTATTTCATGTATAAAATTATTTGAAGGAATACAGAGAATTAACACAACAGATAGAATAATTATTTTGTAGCATAAAATCACATCATAACAAATTTTAAATGATGTTAAGATATGGTAAGTGGACATTGCTTACATCATAAGATATAATAATTTTCTCACTAATCAAAAAGGTTTATTAATTCCAAAGTTTTCATTATAGTATTCCTCTGTAAGGACCATTTTATTTATGCTCTAAATCACTACCATGTCCCATAGGAAAGGATGATATTTTTCTTCTGTCAAAACTGTGAAAACCCAAGCCCCTAAACACAAGAATATAGATCCATAATTATCTATCCTAAAACTGTTTTACTTAGTCTTGTGGACTCTATTACTTTCTTTTGGACAATAATTAATTTATTTCTTTCGTAGCTGTTTCTATAAACTATTCATGCTTATGCATTTGTTGTTTGTTAATTTATTTACTGCCTTTTTGCTGTAAAGTTTAAATGAATCTACCTGACATAGAAGGAACATTGGATTTGGTCATAATATTCTGTTTAATGAATCTCTATGAATCAATATTGTCTGAATTAATTGAAAGAATGAAACAATAATTATTTATAGTATTTTTTAAAAGATTTATTTATTTATTTATTTATTTATTTATTATGTATACAGAAGAGGGTGCAAGATCTCATTACAGATGTTTGTGAGCCACCATGTGGTTGCTGGGAATTGAACTCAGGACCTCTGGAAGAGCAGTCAGTGCTCTTAACCTCTGAGCCATCTCTCCAGCCCCC